TTGGCATGTAGAAACCAAAATTAGGGCCAGCCATTATCAAAGTACGTAATATAATGACAACAAATGTATTGAATTACGAACATAAAAACGGTCAGCAAGGGCCAAATTGACTGGCCTGGCGAGCCACCTGTTGTACTCCCCTGCTTTAAATCATAAGTTGTTGCTGTTATCGACCCAGGCTTTAAATCATATAAAATGGTTGATTTTTGGTACAACACATCCTTTTACTTTTAGTGTTTCACTGCAAAGGGACTTTGAATTCGAGTCTTTTCTTTCCATGATGTCAGTTGCTGTGGTCCCTGAACTCATACAGTGCAGCCTCTCTATAACGACCTAGATATAATGACATCCTCTGTATAGCGACATGGTGCCCAGGCCCGATTTTTTTCTTTATATATCATAATTTTTGGTTGCCTCTCTATAACGACAACTCTCTATATCGCCATTTTTTTCTGGTCCTGACGATGTCGTTATAGAGAGGCTGCACTGTACAAAAAATTATATGCTCATGGCCTTACTGTAAATTCTTTTCTTGCCAGGTGATAGACCGCACAAGAACTACTCTGCCCGCCAAGGAGCTAGGGGGAGAAATGTTAACAGAGCTGAACAGAGGGGGGCTGAGAGAGGAAGGAGTGAGAGTTGGGAAAGGAATAGGCAGATAGCAGTTGAGAAGAGTAAAGGTGGGAATAGAGGAAGGAATAGGGAAGATAAAAGTAGAAGTCGAAGCAGTGATATGGACAGACGTGATAGATTACCAAACAGAAGAGATAGAAGTGGCAGTAACAATACTGACAGACGAAACAGGACTTCAAAAAAGATGAGTGTGAGTCCGGACAGGCGTAGAAATCAAGGAGGCCGAGGGAGCAGAAATCAAGAGGGAGCTCGACCTCGTAGGAGTCACAGTCCAGGTTACAAGGATCAAAGAGATGTTTCTAAGAGGAGAAGGGAAAATGAGCCTCCTTTGAATCAGAACAGGAAAGGAGGGCGGGGTGATAATGCGGGTGCTAGAAACTCTGACAGATACGAAAAGGCCAAAAGAAGGGAAAGAGCTGGTAGCGATTCTCCTCCCAAGCGCAGACAAAACAGAAGTAGGTCGCTCTCTCAGAGCAATTCGCCTCCCATACGCAAACAAAGCAGAAGTGGATCGCGCTCTCGAAGAGATTCTCCTCCAAAGCGCAAACAAAACAGAAGTAGGTCGCACTCTCCTGAGTTCAATGAACATGCTTCCAATAAAGGGCCAGGACGCTATAAGGGCAGTTCTTTTACCTCTGTCAAAAACCGAAAAACCTCCAAATCACCTTCATCTTCATCATCATCTTCAAGTCAGGACAGTTCTCCAGATCGGAAAAAACAAAAGCGGAAAGAGAGAGGAAGAGAGGAGAAGACAAAAAAGAAGAGGGCTAGTTCTAGCTCATCTTCCAGTGGAAAGTCTGAGTCTGAGGATGGCAGATCTCGCAGCGCTAAAGACAAGCCAAAGATGGCTCAGTCTCGCCAGTACGGTCTCATAGTAAGTTTTTCTATGACTTTTCATGGGTGGCTGGATTTCAAGAATACTTTAAAAAATCCTTGTTAAAGTAAGACACTCCCCCCTCCCCCTCTTCTCTTCTCTTCTCTTCTCTTCTCTTCTCTCTCTCTCTCTCTTCTCTTCTCTTCTCTTCTCTTCTCTCTCTCTCTCTCTCTCTCTCTCTCTCTCTCTCTCTCTCTCTCTCTAGCGTATCTCTAATATTCAGCACTTACAAAATGACCAAATTAAGTTGCATACGCCGAAAACAAAATCTAAAGCACCCAGACGTATTGCCAGTTCAGTAGGCTTGTAGAGCGCACCATTCGAAGCAAATGAAAAACCGCCACGCGCATTCACTTTAGCGAGACTGATGTTTTGCCCTTCATGAGAGTAATGGTGTGGCCCATAGTGCACTCGCACTCGGCCATGACAGTATGTGGTCTTGGGGCACAAGGCTAGGATCTATAATAGGCTATCCATTTTTCTTTTCTCTTTAGTAACGTTTTCAGATTGAGTGTACTTTTATTTTTTCTTCCCAAAGAGATTATGAATAGAACTAGAGGTCTTAACTGTGACGTCACGGGTGTCAAACTTGAGGGGCACCGCGCCGCCATTCGGAGAGGGATAAAAGGCCAGTCGGTGCACACTAACACTTTTCAATCACGGATTAATGATACTCTGCGAGGTCTTTTGATGTTGATTTCTTTTTCATATGATGTTCCTTTCGCTAAAATGTACTCATAAGGATTTTTGGGATTGTTTATCTTTAAATGAGCCAGATACTATCAAAATAACGCAAATAGGGGCCTTTTACACGGTGAGATCATGGGTGAGTAAAATTGAGAACAATGAATGAGATGGATTATATGATCACTTGTTAAACATTTTATATAAAAAAAACATAATTTTATTGAAAACTTTTGTTGTGCGTCGCTTAAACAGTATGTCTAGATTGCACCGCTGACCACAACAAGGCGCTCGTATCAACCCCCTGAAATCAGGAGCGTGACTAGGAAGCTGCTAGAAGTTTCAACAGCAGCTCTAGTACACCTTCAAGGCTGGATGAACGAAAAAAGAAAACCGCTGTCGATGTTGTTGAGATGAGACAATATAAAAGTAGCCAACCAGGCGTAACTACCCACAAATAAGACCGGCGTAATATTCTGTCTCATTTGCCAAACAGAATGTGAAACAGCAGCAGTAGGGGTTCATGGAAGATGGGGTGTTTTGTAGCCAAACACCATTGAAAATAAACTCCAATTTTAGAATATATTGTTTACGTTTTGGATATACCGGCTATTTATCTAAGTGTTGCATTTTGAAATACAAGTATATAATTATTTGTACCCGATATTAAACAACGCTCTTTGGGTATGCGCACAGGATCCATATAATAAGTGATTTACAGTATCCAAGCCTACAAGTAATTGTCCAATTTGACACAATAACGAGTTAATGTATTAGATAATTAACCCAGTCTTAACCCCCTTCATATTCTATGAAGACCTAGGCTTTGTATCAGTACAAGTAGAAGGAGAGTGTAGACAACATGACATAAAAGCAATATATTTTCTAAGTGTATGAAATTGTCCTTTTTCTTAACAAACTCAATTACTCACTTTGTCTCCCTCCGCCCCTCCCCCACCCCACCCGGGAAAAACAAACAATACCTCATAGTATACCTCTCTGTTCATTTGTAGCCCAGATTTAAGTGCATTTTTGTTTTCCACAATCGGCCAGCAGGTGCCGTATTGTGTATGCATGCAGGTTATATGATTAAACAACACAACAACAAAAAAGAAAACTATACAATAAAACTGAACTGAGTTTCAAACTCTGTGAATACCTAGGCATTGCATGGGGCAAGCGCTGTTTCTAATCCTCTCAAAAATGGCGATGAAGCGAGCTGAGTGGGCCACAGAGCCATAGTGAGTTTACGCTGGTGACGTCACAGCTGCGACCTCTAGTACTATTATAACCTCTTTGGTTCTTCCAAGTAATGTGAGCCGGAAATAGGCCAGCGTCATCGATTTGTTCGGCTGCTGTCCCCTTGCATCGTCAATCAAGGGGACGCTACCTATTCTCAGATGAATTATTTATGTGAGTCATCGTCACACGTCCTCGCTTTACGCAGGTGTACTTTATGCTCCGTGCGATGAATCTCAGAAAAATCCCTGTCCTATCCTTCATTAACCCAATGAAATCTTTGTTTGACCATGTTACTCGCTTGAAAAAAATGTTCACAACTCACGTTTCACAGGCTAGCCCCACAAGGGAAAAACAGCCAACCGACATGGTAAAGAATAGTTCTCGATCCTTTTATATTGATGGCTTTTCTAAAGAGGTTTGACACTGAGTGAAAATTGTGATACCTAGTTTTGTTTTACTCGTTAAAATTTTTTTCTTCAATTTTTTCCTTTTCTTTTATCGTCTTGTTGTCGGTGTTGTTGTCGTTGTCGTTGTTGTTGTTGATATTGTTGTTATTCTTGTTGTTGTTGATGTTGTTGTTGTTATTGTTGTTGTTGTTTGAATAAAACTTCTTCTTCTTCTTCTTCTTCTTCTTCTTCTTCTTCTTCTTCTTCTTCTTCT